AACAAACTTTGTAGCCCTTCATCTCAGCATGCTACTGGCCAAATATCATCACCCTGGGCATTTTGGTTATTGAGAAGAAGTTGTTTAAAGTTTTTAACATATTTGACCCCTGTGACATTGAATATGGGTGAAGGTCATCCATTTGAACAAACTATGTAGCCCTTCATCTCAGCATGCTGCTGGCCAAATATCATCACCCTAGGCCTTTTGGTTATTCAGAAGAAGTTGTTTAAAGCAAAAAATTGATGCCGGACGCCGCGCCAAGGCATACGCTCACTTGGCCCGGGAACAGGTGGGGACTAATTAACATTGTGTCATAAAACAACAATCTCACTGTAAATCAATATTGTAATACATGAATTACATCAAACTTTTTATGCAAAAAATAGGGTAGGCTTGTGAAAGTTATCTTGAGTTCATACTTTTCTGACATTCAATATTATTATCTTACTTACGTAAACTAGGGGTATAGCATATAATCTATTCTACAATAAGTCAGTCATGTGTATTGTGTGCTATCATGAAATGTACTGAGGCAACAGTTAATCACAGTCCCCAAACCCAAAATTTTCCAAGTTGAGGGTCAATTAAGCTTAACCATTACTTGCTAATTTTACTTCATGTGAAATGTACTAGGCTTGCCAGGTAAATTTCCATGGACAGTTACATGCTGTGTTATTACATTATATTATATACAGATTTTCAAGCCTCTTGTGGTTTAATACTGCTCTGTAAGTTACACAAATATGTTCATGGGACTACACACTGGCGTATTGCATGTATGTGTATTTATACAAGTATTTGATACACAAATAGTTATGCTAGTGGTCTTAGACGGTTAAGACCAGGGTGAGGATGAGGGCTCTCCTCAGCAAATACACCGCACAGATTTTTTTATCGGAAAGTTCCTCATTCTTCATAACTGTCCTCATTTAGATATATTTCTTCAAATAGGTGGCAATTTTCAAATTTAACATATTTGGATTTTAATATTGGTTGTAACCTAAAATAAAGTTCTGATTCCAGGACATACAATACGAGGCTCGATACCCATAAAGGGAGCCCCATGAACTGTTGCGACCAATGAGGAAAGTGACTAGGTGGGGAGGATATGTGAGGTAGCTTTGGCCTCAACTAGAAGAGAGGTCATCGAGGAACTTTTTCAGTTTTTGATGAGAGATCATGTATTCGTAGTGTATCTAAAACAAGAGATCCCAGAGGGATCTTGGCACCCACCATTGTACCATCTTCATTAGCTCTTTGTCAGTTCGATCTGTTCTCTTCTTTCCTCTAATCTGTTTGATCGAGTCATGCTTAAATGCACCTTGAGGTAACTTTTGATCTAAACTTAATACTGATGTGTATGAAAGCCAACCTTCAAAGTGAGTTTGTCATTTCACATATTTACTAGTCCAGTACTTAATGTGAAAGAAATAGAATCGATCATTGCACTATGAGAAAGATCTGTATAGTTCTTCCTTTAGCCATTTTGTTTTTATGATCAGTCTCAAAATATAACATGCACTACGAGGGATCAAGGGGAACCTACATATCAAATTTGAGAAATGATCTGTCAAGTTATTCTTGAGAAATAGTACTGACAAACCTTCAATGTCAAAAATCGAAAATTGCTGTCGGTAGGCCATTTTGTTTAACTGATCAGTTTCAAAAGTAAACATGAACAATAAAGGATAGTGGGGAACCTGCATTGGCTGGCTCAAAATATTTTAAAAATGTTGGTAGGTTAACAGAGCCATGTATGGGCAGATTGGTCGAGTGGTCAACACTCCGGCCTTCCATGCAGGCGGCCGGGGTTCGATCCCCGAAGTCGCCGTACACATGGAATATTAGAGAAAGTGTTTTTCTCCTGCCCACATAACTCCAACAACCCAGGTGGAGTATAAAATGGTCTGGGGTGGGTGTTGCGGTATCTGTGCTGTAGCATTCAAGTGTGGTGGCACTATAAATGATACCGTTGGAAGCACAGTCCCACTACAAACAGAACACAATACATCTCCAGCACACACACAGGCATACACACATAGGGAGATATTAACGAGGTGGCATAGGACTAGTAGTTAGCGCCATATAAGGCAGCTCCTGCGAATTCCTCAATATTGTATTGATTAATATATATATGCTAATTGTATTGACTGTACAAAATTGGATATCTATGTACTGTAAAGCGCTTTAGAGTGGCTTATGTTAGCTAGATGGGGCGCTATATCAAATGTTGTATATTATTTATTATTATTATGTATCAAATGATTTTAATCAGATTGGCCTTATCATTTCCATTTGATACACAGTCCTACAATGACCATATCATAATAAACGATTTTTTGTGCCTAGTTAAAGGATAACATTGGTACATGGGGAACAAATTATACTAAGCGACATCATAATAAGTGGGTTTCACTCTAGTACAAAAAAACTATAATATAGCACAGTTATCTTCATAAGATAAAACAGTAAACAGAAACACTATGTCATTAAATTGAATGTAACAAGTTTGTAACAAACATGTCTTTCAATCCCTGAACACACAGCATCATGTTTCATTAGTACTGATAAAACATCTTGTGATGTACATGTTTGATAGAGAAAACATCGCACTCCATCTTTCGCCGTTCATAATCTATAAACCATTCATGGATATTATCAAATAGTATGTGTAGTGTCTCCAGTAACAGGGAAGTCCTATGTCATGTATGCTATAAGTGTAATTTTGACTTGTGTTACAAAAGCGGCAAAAAATCATCTAAAATTACATCTGAGGGAGATTAAGGTTTATGATAATTAACTCACAAAAATGGTTTGACTCTACAAATAGACTGACTTCATTCCAATCCGGCTGATCGGGTTTAGTTCAATCAGAGATGTATTATACGTCTCTGGTCCAATGTTCTCTTAATTATAAGGGAGATAAGGTTTTGCAGAAATACAGGTAAACCATGGCAGTGACGGAAAGAATAGAATAGTCATATTCAAGTGGTCATTGGTAAAATTTTAAGCTTATTTACAGTTGTAATTTTTGTGATATAACGCAAAACGTTAGTGACTCAAACAGTGTGATGGGATGTTAAAATCAATATATATCAATATATGGCTGTGTACTGTAGTTAGGTAGGAACACTACAGTAAGTAGGTCAGAGGAAACCATCCGCTTCAGCGAAGAGTGGGGAAAGCATGATTTCAGCAAGCAGAGCTTCGTCAGAAAATAAATCAGAATATTTTTTATTAATAGCATAACTCACAAAATACATGCTTTGTTGTATTTTTCACATGCATATGGCTAGTTAAGAAAGTATCAAGTGAATGCTTTCTCTGCCTATTAGTTGTAAACCACAAAATGGGGTCACTACGGTATGAATGAAAATGCTAGGGGTCGCGGCCGAAAACATTTGCATATGAATGAAAAGTGAATGAATTAAGTTTCCATATAAGGAGATATCAGATTCCATATAAGGGCAGAGAGACCATATAAGGTTACAGATGTCACTGCTATCGCAAACACAATTCCACGTTAAGCAAACTTCGTAGTATGCACGATACCCTAGACACCTGCATTACCTAACGCATGTGTCAAAAATTGAGGCCCTTTTGTCCAAAGATGCTACAGAACAAAGAACAAAATTTGGTCAAAATCCATCTTTTAGTTGAGAAGAAGATTGTTTCAGAATTACCTCCCCCCCCCCCCCCCCCCTATTTTTTGCCCTTTGAGCCAGGTGAGCTAAAAACTGTTTTACGATTTTAAATATACGCCCTCACCAAATCTTTGTTCTGTAGAAGCCCAAACCGTGAAGATCTCCTCAAACCCGATCACACCAAATGAAAAAACGGAGTAGACCATGACGGCTTGTCGAACATCTCCCATTCTGTAAAAAGAAAAAAGTACAAGTTAATAGTGATAGCCCTTGTACTGTGAATTAAAAGGACACATGATCCCTTACATTTTATACATATGTATGAGCGCGCTCTCTCTCTCTCTCTCTCTCTCTCTCTCTCTCTCTCTCTCTCTCTCTCTCTCAGAATGATATATTTTAGTCTTCCTTTTTAATTGTTATGTATATTAATTGATTTTCTATTAAATTAAATAAGGAATTAAATCACGAAAAAGACATAAAAGCTATTACGAATCTTACTGTGGATAAAAAAATACAACTCTTGTGAATATGACAGTGAAGTCAAAAAGGGAACAAGAGGTCCAATGGGCCTGCATCGCTCACCTGGTATAAATCTCAGTCTTGTAACCTTAAAAGTGATCTAAAATAAGGCTACAGGCAAAATATCAGTATTTATGATTAAAATTCATTCAAAAGACCCATTTTTTTTTAAACATTCCACCCCTGTGATTGAAAGTCGAACAAAGTCATTATGTTGAACAAATTGTATAGTCTTTCATCTCAGGATGCAATTTGCAAAGTATTAACATCCTGGAACCCATGGTTATTCAGAAGAGGTCGTTTAAAGATTTTAATCCAATTTAACTCCTGTGACCTTGAATATAAAGCAAAGTCATTCACTTTAACAAACATAGTAGTCCTTGATCCCAGCATGCTACTGACTAAATATCAACATCCTGAGCCTTTTGGTTATTCAGAAGAAGTTGTTTAAAGTTTTTAACATATTTGACCCCTGTGACCTTGAATATGGGTGAAGGTCATGCATTTGAACAAGCTTTGTAGCCTTTCATCTCAGCATGCTACTGGCTAAACATCATCACCCTGGGCAGTTTGGTTATTGAGAAGAAGATGTTTTAAGTTTTTAACATATTTGACCCCTGTGACCTTGAAAATGGGTGAAGGTCATTAATTTTGACAAACTTTGTAGCCTTCATTTCAGTTTGCTTCTGGCCAAATATCGACACCCTAGGCCTTTTGGTTATTAAGAAGAAGTCGTTTAACGTAAAATATTGACGCCGGACGCCGGACGGATGGACGGACGCCGCACCACGTCATAAACTCACTTGGCACTTCGTGCCAGGTGAGCTAAATATGGGCAAAGGTCATTCATTTGAACAAACTTGGTAGCCCTTGATCCCAGCCTCTCGGTTATTCAGAAGAAGTCGTTTAAAGGTTTTAAACATACTTGACCCCAGTGACCTTGAATATAAATCAAGGTCATTTATTTGAACAAACTTGTTAGCCTGCCATCCAAGCATGCTACAGGCCAAATATCATCACCCTAGGCCTCTCGGTTATTCAGAAGAAGTCGATTAAAGGTTTTAAACATATTTGACCCCAGTGACCTTGAATACAAATCAAGGTCATTTATTTGAACAAACTTGGTAGCCCTTCATCCCAGCATGTTACTGGCCAAATATCATCACCCTGGGCCTCTCGGTTATTCAGAAGAAGTCGTTTAAAGGTTTTAAACATATTTGACCCCAGTGACCTTGAATATAAATCAAGGTCATTTATTTGAACAAACTTGGTAGCCCTTTATACCAGCATGTTACTGGTCAAATATCATCACCCTAGGCCTCTTGGTTATTCAGAAGAAGCTGTTTAAAGATTTGAACATATTTGACCACTGTGACCTTGAAAATGGTTGAAGGTCATTTGTTTGAACAAACTTGGTAGCCCTTGATCCCAGCCTCTCGGTTATTCAGAAGAAGTCGTTTAAAGGTTTTAAACATACTTGACCCCAGTGACCTTGAATACAAATCAAGGTCATTTATTTGAACAAACTTGGTAGCCCTTCATCCCAGCATGTTACTGGCCAAATATCATCACCCTGGGCCTCTCGGTTATTCAGAAGAAGTCGTTTAAAGGTTTTAAACATATTTGACCCCAGTGACCTTGAATATAAATCAAGGTCATTTATTTGAACAAACTTGGTAGCCCTT